CAGAGAGAGAGAGAGAGAGAGAGAGAGAGAGAGAGAGTGCGTGTTTGTGATCGTTTGAGTGTGTTTGTTTGTGTGTGTTTGTGTATGTGCACTGTTGTTGTCGTTGTTGTTGCTCTCCTCCTTGATCGCTGTCATCCAACTGCGTCTGTCAGGACCTGGACTCTTCCACGTCAAGAGATTAACGCTGGAGTCCTAGATCTAGTCCTTTAGAGATATTTTCAGGGTGCTCTATTGCATTCATTTTTTTTTCATGCTAGGCCAACTCAAAGAGTCTACATAACAAGAGAGACCACTCCTCTCTTTGAGCCAATTAAAAAAGTGTCCTCAAAATTCGGTGGCGCCCTCTTGGCAAATGTGCACCCTTTGCGAACAGAGTTACCTACTTGTGTTACAAAAATCAAAGTGAAACTAGCAAGTTTTTGAATAAATTTCGGAAGAACGCATTTTTAAAAAGTGGTTACGCTGACAAAAAAACCTCTTCCGGAGGAAGTGAGGTGATTGTTTTCTTATTTTAATTTGACGTTAGAATGAAAGGCGAGAGGTCATTAAATTTTTTTTTAAACTGAAACCCCGCACTGAACGAACCCGAACTGCTCATGAACAGCAGTCGATCTGCGCACGCAAGGAGGTGCTATTCCTATTCTTCCTCTGGAAAAGCGAAAGAGAGCTTCAAAACAGACTGCAGCGCCATCTGAAGCAAAGAGCGGACTTCCGGAGGACACTTTTTTGGCTGAGTGGACCATCTTGTTATGTACTATCTTTGGCCAACTTTACGCTTTCTTTGGGACAGCCTAGAATAGAATGCTACTTTATAGGATTAAACATTGTTGTGTTAGTGTTAGTTTTGTGGATGCTGCTGCTCCGCTGTGGTATTTTTAATTGTTGAGGTCAGAGGTTGTTGCTATCTCTGTTGTTGTTGTTGTTGTTGTTGTTGTTGTTGTTGTTATTGTTGTTGTTGTTGTTATTGTTGTTGTTGTTGTCGGGGTGGTGGTGGTGGTTGTCGTCGTCGTCGTCGTTGTTGTTGTTGTTGCTGTTGTTGTTGTTGTTGTTGGGGTGGTGGTGGTCGTCGTCGTTATTGTTATTTTTCTTTTTATAACGATTCCCATTACCTCTGCCGGGACAACCATCATCATTACCATCATCATTGTTTGGAAAGCAGAGTAGGAGGGAGAGTCTTGTTTGATGTTCAGGCTAAATAACATAACAATATAAAGTGTTTAAAATGTATTTAATGGACACAGTTCAACGTTTCGCCTCTTGGGTTTCCTCAGAAGCCACTGACAGAAAAACTAAATGGGCGCTGTATACTAGCAGGGAAATGGGCCTAACAAAGAGGGTCTTAAGATTGCATGTGGTTAACAGGCTAGACGGAAGTGACTCGGAGCGAGCCAGGCCACGGGGGTAATTATAAAGAAATTGATACTAGTCCAGCACCATCATCATCATCATCATCATCATCATCATCATCGTCATCACCACCACACCATCACCATCACCATCAGCTGCAGCTCAGGCAGAGGCAGCGCCCCTCC